AAAATATTGACAGTCGAGAGCAAGAGAAGTTGAGAACACTACAGATTTAAAGAAATCTGTTCGTCTGAAAAGCATGTCTATGTACGATTTATTGTCAACATATAGGCCACTATTTTGGAAACCATTTTGATGAAATTTCGTATACGCAGACATTTCTCCTCACGAACGAGCTTTGTAGATTGTAGTAGACTTATGAACATTCCTTCCATTCTAAAATAAATGATATTTTTCTATTTTTAATAATTTTGGGAAGAAATCGGGGAATAGAGAGCAAGATTTTGCATGTGGAAAATTTAAATTAGGCGAGATCATATTTTCAAATTCCTAAGCTACAAGCATTGTTCTTATCTCGAAATCTCGACAATCTATTTTTTAGCACTTTGTGATGAAATAATGAAAACCTATGAATGTTATCAGATAACTGAAGATTTATATTAAACGAATTTGTGTACGGCATTCAATACCCGATCTTAGTGGGCTATAACAAATCTTTTTATCTCACGTTTGTAGAATAAAAACTTGTTCAGTCATTACTTGTAATTAGGTAAACGGTTAAAAGCTCCCTACCAAACACCAAAAACGATTTATTTACATCGTCTTGTTTTCAAATATCATATCAGCCTTGTTTTATTCATTAACATAATTGTTTCAAAAAATTCATTTAATCCAGTTCAACTTGTAAGAAATTTATTTAAGTTCTAACTACAATATTTCGCTACTCAAATTTCCACGATAAAGACATACACTATACACAATGTATTCAATAAAAGGTGTATATTAGATTTTTCAAAATGCTTGAAAAAAATCAGCAATTCAGTATATAGGATAGGGGAGACGGAAATTCAAGTTTTTACATCTTAATTTATCGTATTATTTTCATCGTTATTAAGAAGAGTTTGTCATCTTTTCTGCTTATGGTCACTCCCTCCACGAAGCAAAATATAACTAAAAGTGCTTTCCCAAGGAGCTTGGGCTGGTATTGCGATGTGATTGGTAAAAAGCTAGTGCATGGAGAGCTTTATGTTAGGTTAGAGGATCTATTTCTCTTCTCCAGTTGTGCTAACAGATAGATCTCCAAGAAATTTGGTTTTCTTGATTTGATATTCTTCCCATTGTCTTCGATAATTAACGCGGTATCAATATTCCATGTCCTCACACCGTGCCAATTTCGTGCAAACGGCTTTGTTCGGTTAAGCATATGTACTAAAGCGTTTTCGACCAGTATACTTTACTCTGAACCAGCTTTTACCAAACATTTTAGGCTAGGTCGCCCATTTCTAGGTTTATCAATAGCTACCAAAGGTTCATTAATTTCCGTTGCTCACATCTTCGGCTGACTCTTTATCTTTATCACTCTGTACGTCTTGTGATAAGGTTGTCGCTGTCGTGCCTATGCTTTCAACTTCCCTATCAAGCAATTTCGCATTAAGTTCCTTATTCACCGTTAAACCCGAGAGCCTCGTTAAGTAAGCGACTTTAGTCAAACCAGCGTCTTTACGGCGCTTGGATTTTATGAGTATTTTCTTGGTTTTCCTTTCGACATGACTTCTCGGTGTATGTTTTTTGAAACTTTGAATCGGATATACCTTTTGATACTTCAATATGACTCCCTAAAACTCGCAAATTTTTCTTTGTTGTCATTGCTTCCTTTAACTCTCCATGAAAATGAAGAAGCATTCAATAAAGAATATAATCGTCGGACGGAGATACGGACGCCGCCATTTTACCATAGTATTGTAAAATAAAAGTAATCATACCCTTCAGAATATTTTCTACGCAGGCTGCTTTAATGGATACGCTAAGCCTTGCAAGTAATTGCTCACTTATTACATACATTCTTTTCACGAGCTTAAATTCCGAAAGTCTGTCTGTCTTTTCGTTTTTGTAGAAAGAAACAACAAATTTAGACCCTTTTTCAAGACTCTTTTTGAATTAAGTCCGAAAATCCAATCAAGTGGATTAAAAAAAAAAAACTTTGAAATCGATTCCAATTATTTAAGATGTTTTTTGGGTAAATACATATGACATTCAGTAAATCTTTAATCGTGTTTTCAGAATATTCTTTGGTTTATTTCCTTAGATGCAGTGCGCTGGGAGAATAAAAGAAGAAAAAAATTATTGACAACTGCCGGGTCTCCATTTTGTTCTTAAATATATTTGAAAAAAATATATAATGGGTTATAAAGTTAGACTGTTGAGATTTCGTTAATAAATTTTTCCATCTTTTTCCTTATACTTTACAGCATTTGTGCTATATATGTTTCTGCCGATGTATACAATACCCAAATAGACTAACCTTTTAGTATGCCGATCGATTCAGAATCACTTTCTGCATTGATCTAGGTTTGTCTGTCCGCCTGTCCACCTTGTTTTCTTGTGTTCAATCTACAGATTGCAATTTTTAAAATATTCTAATGAAATTTGATGCACAAACACGCCTTAGCCCAAGAATAAACGCTCTTGAGAATGGTTCGGATCGCAGAGCTTTTTGAATTACTTGCCTGATAAAACCTTATTTCAAAAAGTCATTACATGAACAACTGTATTACGCGAAGTTGTGTAAGGTATTTAATGATGGAAAATGGCTTCTTTCCTAGTTCTTTAAAAATAATTACAAGAACAATACAATATTGAAGCAAACTCGAGCTGCAAAATATATCAGCACATGCTTCAGAGACCTCATATGCATTGCTGAAATTTTTTTTATTTCATTCAAATGCCAGGTCCATTCACTTTGTGCTCATCCTATCTGTTTTGTGTCAAATCGCCGTACAGATGCATTAAGGGAAATTAACATAAAACCGATTTATGGCAATTCCCTAAGACTAACTATTTTAATATTTCCAAATAGCTTTCCTATTAATTCATTTTATTAGTAAATAAATAAAAAATATTACAAATAAGGCAAAAGTAAAAAAGAAAAAAAAAAACGAAAGTCCACCGCATTGCGTATATTTTACAAATATTTCATTATTATGAATAATAACATAATTTATAAATGATTAAATAAATAAAATAACAAATATTAAACAAAGTATAAAATATAAATTTATACAGTCATTTCGTGCATATTTATTGACACAGTTAAAATGGAATAAAAATAATTTATATTGTATTTAATTTAAATAGCGATATAGAAAAAAAAAAAAAAAAAAAACTAAAAGGAATAAAAAAAACGGTAAAATATTTCATTTTATAAATTTAATATAATACGACATAAATTCCATCTGTGCATAAGCACAAATGCACACGGATATAGGTGTTAATAGAAATCGATTCGAAATCTGGAAATAATTTCACAACAATATTAGTGCAAGATAGAAAAGCAAAGGAGGAATGTTTTCTGCTTCCGCCTTTAATATTTGGATGTAGAAAAATACATGTATATGAGTTTCGAATCTGATTTATCCTAATCTCTTGTCCTTCCGTCCACTTCGTCATGTATCGCTTAAAGTGATAAAAGTTTATATAGAAAGTCAAAAAATTGCACTCACATGTTTGATTCCATACGAGCCCTATGTCAGTGGCTTCTCTCTCGCTCCTCCGTTCTCAAACGGAAACAGTATCTACGTACATTTGTGCATCCATTACGAAGGAAATAAGATAAGGTCAGTGCAATCGTTAGTATAGTATAACTTACTTAGCCCTCTTACCTCTTAAAACTGAAATGAATGCAATATTTCTCTATAGTGTGGGTGCAAAAAGGGCAGAGCTGTAGGATTTTGAGCCACCTTGTCCACCAAGTTAACCAACCTAATGAGCAGAATGCTTCTTTATGACTAAATCGTGCCCATTTCTTATATTGCTTTGTAGAGCCTTTTACCTTAAGGTCCTGCTTGGCAAGTTTTAATTTATTGAACATAACGGCACTTTGTAAAGAAACCCTGAAAGGACGAAGGAAAAGCTAATATGATATGACGGACATTGATCGAAGATATGTGCAATGCTATAAGCGGAATGACAAAAACAAAAAGCAGACCGACCTTGTAGCAGAGGTGTAACCAATTTAGCAAAGCATTGGATTTAATTTTGAAGAAAATGAGTTTTCTTTTAAAAGTATTTCTTATTAAACAAATGTCCAACTGTTAACACTTACCTTACTGTTCTACTCATTTTAACGATTTCCACTCGTTGAAAAGTTTTTACAAGACAAGAATTAGCATTTTCGACATCATTTGGATCCTTGTCTTCTTTTCCCTTGGACTACCAGGCAATAGACTTAGCTTTAAATATTCGCTGCTTAATATGCTCGATACTATTCTCAAATGTCTTCATCAGTGATATGCGCCATTTTAACTTTATTTTCTGTTGACTACTCGTCTAGTAACTTATATCTCATGCTATTCAAGCTCCTAACATATCCTGCTATCAGCTTTCGTGTCTCAAGAATTTTTTAAACTATTAAACAAAAAAGTGTTCTTTCATTTATAAGCTTAGCGTGAACTTATTTTTTGATAACGAGTAGTTCTCGCCAACTTTAATTGGTTAGCATAATATTTTTTTTATGTGCGCTTTAGCCGAATGGACGATCCTTGCCGAATGTCAAGACTCTTGTGGGCCGTATTTTATATATGTGGGCGCATAGAAATTTCATTTTTGTTTATGCAAATTTTCATCGACATATGTTACGAAAAATTTCGTTTTCAACAAACGAATGTGTGCATAAATAAATAGACTTTGAAATTTTTGATAGAAATAGACAGAAAAACATCAACTGCTGCATGAGCAAATTAGAAAATAAAAACTATAAGTTTGAAGAATTTCTAAATGGGAAAACCAACAAACAACAATAAAAGAGAGAGAAAAATTCAAATCATAAGTGACAACAGCTGCAACAACAAGTCGTTTGTTATTTTCCTATTTTTTATTTATTTATTTATTCTTTTTTATTTAATATTTTAACAAAGACTGTTTAACAAACTGTTTTAAAATTATTTGTATATAAACCGAGGTCTCTAAGTATATGGATAAGTGTTTGTGTGTGTGTGTGTGTGTGTGTTTAATATTTTTTATTTTTGGCATTGCGCTTTACAATACTTTTCGTTTATTTGTTTTGTTTTATTTATTTTGTTAACACATTTGCGTGTTGGTGTGCGAATGTGTGCCTGCGTGTACTTATACTGCCGATAGCAAAATTTTTTGGTAGGATTTGCGGCGTTTGTGAATTGAAATTCACGCCAAACACAATTGTCAACACCGTGAACAACATCACCGACATCACCGACCAGAAACAACATCACAACATCACACAGACATTCATTTCAAAACGTCAACAACAACAAATGTAAGAACAACAGAAACAACAACGACAACAACGACAACAACAACGACGACGACAATACTAACTACAACAATGTTCTGATTGTGAAAAGTTCTAAATGAAAATGATAATGGAGGTGATAGAGTAAAAAAAAAAAACCAGCCGCATCAACAACAATGTTTTAGTGTAAAATAATTGCAAACAGAAAAAAAATATTACAAATTTTTTTTTGCAATTCCACATACATATATACATACACACGTGCATAGCTTTACAAATGTTACTACAAATTGAGTCAGTGAACGTACGTATATATATGTATGTTTGTATATCTATGTCTGATGGAGGAGTAGTAACATTTGTGAATTTCCGGTTGAATAACTTTTCAAGTGTACAAAGAAAGTAAGCAGATAGAAAAACAGCAGCAACAACAACTATACAACCAGAATATTCACTGACTTGCATTGCTGACTTATATGTATGTATGTATTTATGTATATAGAATGTAGTTGCCCGCCAATTCCTCCCACACAATTTTACCATATTATAAAACTACGAAAGTGAACAGAGCACAAAAAAAAAAAAGAGAAAAGAAAGTAAGAACCAAAGAAAAAAAGAAAACAAACGAGCAAGACAAACAAATGAATACCATTTCCAGCATCTGCTGCAGACAGACCGACAGACAGACACATCGATTTAAAATATATATAAAAGTGAAATCTTTTTCTATTCCACAGTGAGTAAAGTAGCAAAAATCTTTCCGAGTGGCAAAGCAACGACCTCTTGCATAAAGTTCAACGTCGCTAAAAATATATATATATAAATCAATTACCTGAACATGTGTATATATATATATATATATATATACATATATATACATATATATACTCAAAAACACAAATACATATATAATATATAAATATATATATATATATATATATATATATATGTGTGTGAATATAAAGTTCAGGAGCCTTTGTGTTAGTTTTTAAAATTTTACTTTCTAGCAGACATAACAACGGCAACGACATTGCCGCCTTTAGTGATTGCTTATATAAATGCGAGTGTATGTACGTGATTGCCATTTTGTTTCGCAAGATCAAATTTAGTATAAAGTGTAGCCGTTTAGAGTCTTTAATAACGAAGAAAAGCGAACAATTAAGTGGACGTTTGTGTGTGTGTGTATTCCGTGAAAAGAGAATTTGATAAAATTCAATCGCAAATTATGCTGGCCATGTCGACATTAATGATGCCAGCGCCTACAATAGCTGTGGGGGCGCCACCACCGCAGCTAACGATGGCTCCTCATAAGCCACCGGAAACCAAACTTCTAACAATACATCCGGCGGCTGCGGCGCAGCAGCAACATCAACAGCATCCGGCATCTATACAACAACATAATGGTCAGCATACGCAGCAACAACAGCAACAACAACAGCACCAGCATCATCATCAACACCAACAACAGCAACAATTGTCAATACATCAACAACAACAACAACAACAACAAACTCAGCAGCAATGTCAGCAGCAGGTCTCATCTAATAATAAACCAGGTAAACGAACTCAATTATTGCTTCTGTATGTGGATTTTCTTATCGTAAACATGCAAATGTAAACTGACATGTCTCGCTATGTTGGTCGTTTTACACCAATAGTATCCTTCTTAGCTATTTGATAAAGATGATGAGAGTCCTTTCTCATCATACCATCCGCATCTATGTACGTACGTAAATATATAAAACGACAGCAACATCCGTTTTGGCTATGTTTCTTCTTTGCTTCTCGAACAGCGAAGCGTATGCATGCGCACTCGTGCGTGTATGTATGAACACCGCACAATATTAACTCTTCTTAATTACTTAAACACTTACTTAAATTAATCTTCAATGCTAGCAGTTAAGGTGTGAAACAAAATTTCATTTTATGCATTGTTCTGAACATCTACTATTTTATCGCTCTCTAGCTAAAGGAACACAAAATACGTTTCTCATTAACGTGATATGTGTTTTCTTTTAATATGAACACTAAATAACAATGCTAAGCAACAACAAGCCGAAGATATATGTGCATGAAGAAAAGAAGAATATAACAAAAAAGTATTAAAGAGAGCTTTTGTTCAAAAGAAGAAAATAACAAAAAGAAAAACAAAATAAGAGAAGAACTCATCTATTTATCCTTTGTTGGTTAAATTGAGTTTTAACAACTAATGATTTCCTATTATTTCATTCTGTTTCCACAAATAGATCATTAAACGCATACACAATAGAAACAATAGTAATTTTGTTGAAAACTCTTGAAGGTTTCTTCTAAATCAACATTCACTTTCAGAAGTATTATAGAGGATGTGCGAACAATTTTTGGGAGATTTCTTGTTACTTGCTTTGTTTTTTTTTTTTTTTTTGAAAAATTTTTCATTTTTTCAGAAAGAAATTCCATTTAAGCAGACAATAGCTTCTATTATCTATGATTCTTCGTAGGCTTTTTCAAATTTCTGGACGAAAAACTGCACAAAGTGATGTTTAGATTGGAATCTAATTTTTCATGTGTAAAGCAATCTGTGATAATGATAAATAGCTCTCAATGCTTTTTCCCAAATTTTTAATATCAGTCCTATATATCCTTTTTATCGATTATGTCAAAATACACTACCGCTCTGGTTAAACTTGAAGACCAATTTCATTGCATCTTCTTACACCATTACAAACGTATGTCATCGCTTTTTCCAATCCTCCAAACAGTTGCCATAATCGATTTCCGGAATGGCCTTCGAAGCTTTCTACGATGCATCTTGTATCCCTTCGATCGTTGTCACCGATCGTTGTCACCGGGATTTCATCAGGTAACTACAATGATTGTGGAATGATATGGATTGGATCGAAGAAACAGTGCAGAAATTGAGTGTTGTTGGTAGCAACCAGGATTTATCGCGTCTTAGTCCCAAAATATCTTGCAAAACGTTATTGACTGATCCGTTTGAAATATCAACTTAGTTAGGAAAGTTCCTAATTGTGAAACGACGGCTTTTTGCGCACCGATTTGCTTGACGTATCGTCCGCTCTTTTCGTTTTCAAACCGTTCTAGAACTTTTGCAGTTTGCAAAAGCATTCTATAGACAACATGATATATAAGCAGACAAGCGGCAAAATCAGCCTCGGTAAGTGTTTTCCATGTAAACGCTGAGTGATTGTTAATCTTATCTCGCGTCCTATGAAACCAAACTGAGTATAAAAGCTAAGACGTTTAGTTTGATGCCCGAAGAGAGACTTGTGAAAAATTTCAAATCAAAGATCAACTTGACTGGATCTTGTAAACATTATACTCATATTTACGTAACAGTAATTACATCTGCTAAAATAAGGCTTTCGAAAGTATTTACATTTTAAAATTTGTCGCTTCGGCTTAAAGAAAGTAACGAAATTTTCTTTCACGGCCTTCACAAGCAGCATGGGCTCTATTTGTCGCTCCTTTCCATTTTATTTATAACCATCTCCATTATGGCATTTCTACCTCGAATAGGATTTGCGTGTTTGTGTGTGTAAAATAACCAATGCATATTCTATTGTACTCTGTGGACATAAGTTTTCGATTTATATTATTTACAATTTAAAGTCTACTTATACGGAATTGTTTCTATATATGAGCATAAATCATCAATCAGTAGTTGTAGTAGAAAGCTTCGTTTCGCTTAAATACATTTTTCAATTATTTTTTCTTTTATTTATTTGATGAGGATTAGTGTTCCGTTTGCAACGCTCACGCCTAAGATTTGACAAGAGCGTCCTGCGTTACGTCTATGTCTACGTGAAAGAATTATGGATCGAAAGTATGCGTTTAATATGTTAATCACGTTTATGAACAAAATAAGAGATAAGCGCAAGATTCACTCAAAGGTTTGCGCAATGTTTGATTCAGTTTTTAAACTAAATTAAAGCAAAAAAAAAAAAAAAAAAAATAGTTTTACTAACAATTCATGCAAAATAAGAACACAACACATATACACTCGTATACTGAGTTTTAATAACTTTTTCAAATGTTATTAAAATAGTTTTACAAATTTTAAATCACTGTTGGTGGTGGTGTATATACATACATATATATATATATATGTATTCAATGAATGAATTGTTGTTATATTTATTTGTATATTTTTTTCTTCCTTTCTATTTCTTTTTTTTTTTTTTTTTTCTTTATTTGCATTGTTATTGTTGTTGTTGTTGTTTTTAGTAGTATATTTATATAAAAGTTGTTCGAGAAATGCTAACATAAAAACCAATAACCATTTTCCAAAGCATTAAACATTTTGGGCATCCATCAATAATATCAACAATAACAACAACACATAACAAAAACAAGAAGCTGCATAACATGGAAATTTTTTCTATATAACCATTCAGGAACAAAGAAAAAAAATTCAAGTAAGTTATATACGACTTACGAAGTGAATCTATCGCATCTATCATCATCATTAATATATATGTAAATCGGTAAAAAATTTATTATTAATTCGGAGCGTATCAACTACATAAACTTTCGATGGAGACAATATGCTCGCATTAATCAGTGAATCTAAACGAACGGTATGCCCATCTTGTTTCACTGACATGAGAATGAACGGACAACTTAAGCGAGATAACATCGTGGTAGCTCGATTGATTTCAGCTTTACATATGAGGAGCTTTATATATATATTCCCTAAACTATTATTGTTTTCTAAACATGACAAACAGACGGACGCTAACATCGTACAAGAATTTTAACTTCTGTTTTGTAATTTAAAATGACTGAAGATTCGTATGAATGGACGGATGAACAAACAAAATGTCCCACATTGTCTTATCTGTTTTCACGTTTACAGCCTCGAATGCCCAAGAAACAGATGATAACATTTGTTACCATTGGTACTGAAAGTTTTCTGTCTTCCACTTTAATTTTTACGGGATCGCTCTATTGAAACGGAGGCGAGCAATAATAAGACCGGTGAACGGAGGACATCACATTGATATAACCAACGGATGCACATTTCTGCTACTGCGAGGCTTGAAAGAATAGGCGACGGAACACGAACGCATGGACCAATCTGGGCGAACTAAGCGCAAAAATGTTAATCTTTTCAAGAAGTACATACACTGAGGAGTGGCTGTTAGATATACTTTGCAGGCATAACAAAAATGGTTACTAAAGTATTTCACAGATTAAAGTGGAAACGATTAATCACTGCAGCAGAAAAAAGCGTATCTGGGATATGTATGGACTCAGTCAGAAAGGCAGTCGTAATCCAATGCACTATGACATAGAGAGGCAGTAAAATAGCGCGGCTTGGTAGTAAATTCTAACACACATTGGAGTAAATTGTTTCGATTAGTGATTTCAATACTACTTCGAGAGGGAGGGAAGCTCTTTCCCCATTAATTGTTAACATATGGCTCGCAATTCAAAAACTATGATGACCTCACGTGAAAGTGTTTTATGATTTGTATAAAAAACTTTACAACGTATTTCAATCTAACTTTTACCCTAATAAAGAACATCCCCAAGGCTCGTGTCAGCTCATACATAGGTGCGTATGCTTGCATTCTTGTGATCGGTCTCTTGTCATAAAAGAAAATAAATTGTCTTCCTATGGTTGTTGTGATTTTGTATCAATTATGGTATGACGCAGAAATAGTAACAATGCCCGGATATCAGATTTATTATATGTCAGTCCCGCAAATCGCACACAGAAAAAGATGCGATGGGGGAGAATTCGGCTATTAATTAGGCTACGATCGCTTCATTACTTATACGAATCGTACGATAAACTTAGTCGATCTCTTGCAATAGAGTATCGATAAAAACAAAGTCATATTCAAATTTGAATATGAATTGCATTGCATTGTTTATAAAAGAAAAAAAATAAATAAAAATATATTTAAAAAAATAAATGAAAAAAAAAAAAACTTGAAACAATCGGTTGGCAGTGTTTTATATTTTATTTGTTTCCAGAGGAAATACTTGCGATAATTAATTAAAAATTTTTCATTGTTTTCCCCCTCTGTCTCTCTCTCTCCATCTATCGCCCTGTCTCTCTATGCTTCCCTTTTATCGGCCGCTGTGCGATTGCCAATGTAAAATAATGGTCCGTAATAATATTTGCATGACAAATAAGTGAAATTTTTTTTTTTTTTTTTTTTGGTTTTTTCCTTTGCTTACCGTAAAATGACAGATATGTACAATTTTTTCTCTTTTTCTTTTATTTGACGTTGGCGAATTTAACCCACATCCTACCATTATTCATGGTTTGAATAATAATTTTTACTTGTTTTTAAAAAACTCCGATCTCCCCACATTTCTCTTTTTTTTCGTTTTTTTTTTTGCGCTTGTTTACAAAAGTAATGTCTGATATTTAATATGGCAATTTTCCTTTTTTTTTTTAGTTAGTTTTTTAGTGTAAATTTTGGTAAGTGACGTTATGAAGCCATATAACCATGATTTTGGTCTTTAAAGTTGTAATATTTTATCGACAACAAAGCACTCGCAATGAAATTTCTTTCGACATTTACGTTTTGAAATTTAT